ATTCTTAAAGAACTAAAAATAGTTACCATTTGATCCAGCAATCCTACTTCTGGAAATATACCCAAAGGAGCATAAATCGTTCTGCCAAAAAGACACTTGCATTTGTATGTTTATTGCAGCGCTATTCACAATAGCAAAGACATGGAACCAATTCAGATGCTCATTGATGGTGGACTGGATAAAGAAAATATGGCACTAGCCAGGTGCAGTGGCTCACTCCTGTAATCGTAGCACTCTAAGAGGCTGAGGTGGGAGGATCGCTTGAGGTCAGGAGTAAGAGACCTGCCTGGGCAACATAAGACCCTGTCTCTACCAAAAAGAAAAAAGAGAGCGAAAATGTGGTACATATACACTATGAAGTACTATGCAGCCATAAAAAAGAATGAAACCATGTCCTCTGCAGCAACATGCATGAAGCTGTAGATCATTATTCTAAATGAACCATCACAGAAACAAAAAAACGGAATCCCACATGTTCTCACTCTTAATGCATACTAAACCTGGACACATACTGACACAAGGATGGAAACAACAGACACTGAGCATTGTTAAGGAAGGGAGAGAGGGGGAAATAAGGGATACAAAATCACCCACTGGGTACCATGCCCACCACTGGGGGGTTGGGCAGGTTCATCAGAGGCCCAAATCTCACCTTCACATAATATACAAATGTAACATACCCTATGTACACCATGATTCTAAAAAAATAAAGTTTGAAATGAACATGTAGCATTTTTAATTAAAACAATAATTGCTCTTAACAATAAAAAAAGAAAAGAAAGTCTACACTTCACCAATTTATCAGTACACCAAGCTTTTTTTTTTTTTTTTAAGTAATTGCAAAGGAAACTTGTCCCTATTATTAAAATGTATCATCTGGTATATTTTTATTTTTTTCCTTTTTTTTCATTTTAAAGATGTGGAGTACAATTCAGGGTTAGGTATACAAATGTTCATTATGCAGGTACCCTTGTTGATGAGGTGTGCCCCTCCCTCACCTGGCAGTTTCCCTCAACTACCAATCCCACCCCCCTCCCCTGGCAGTTTCCCCACTACTTCCAATCCCTTTCTTATAGTAATAAAGATAATTGTTCAAGGTCTGCTTATGAGTGAGAATGTATGGTACGCTGTTGTTTCTGTGATAATTACTGAGTATGATAGACTCTGAATTCATCCAAGTTGCTGCAAAGTTCATGTTTGTCCTTCTTTATGGCTTCATTCCATTGTTATATGTACTTTTTTTTTTTAAGTTGGAGTCTCACTCCGTCGCCCAGGTTGCATGCAGTGGCATGCTCACAGCCACCCCAGCGTCGACCCACTGGGCTCCAGCCATCCTACTACAGGTGTGTGCTACCATGCCCAGATAATTTTTGATTTATTGTAGGAACGAGGTCTCACCAAGTTGCCTGGGCTGGTCTCGAACCCTCAGTCTCAGGCAATCCACTTGCCTTGGTCTCCCAAAGTGCTGGGATTACAGGCTGAGCCACCAAGCCCAGCCATACCACATTTTTATTTATTTATTAAACATTTTTTTTTTTGAGTTGGAGTCTCACTCTGTCGCCCAGACTGGAGTGCAATGGCCGCTCCCAGCCACCGCTGCCTCGACCTGCTGGGCTCCGGCGATCCTTCCACCTCAGCCTGCCAAGTAGCTGGCATTACAGGCATGCGCTACCACGCCTGGCTGATTTTTTGATTTATTGTAGAGATGAGGTCTCGCAGCCCAGGTGGGTCTCGAACCCGCGGGCTCAGGCAATCCACTCACCTCAGCCTCCCAAAGGCGCGGGATTACAGGCTGAGCCACCGAGCCCGGCTATTAAACATTTTTTATTTTAAAATTGTGGGGTATAGTTAGGTACCCAAATGCGCATCGTTCAGGCACCTTGTTGATAAGGGGTGTCCCCCCATCCCAGACAGATACTGACTACCGTTAATCCCACCTCCCTTCCCCTCCCTACCCCCCCTTAGTTTCCCACCACTGTCAATCCTTATCTTATAGTATTAAGATAGATGTTCAAGGTCCACTATATGAGTGAGAACATGTGATACTCAGATCTTTGTTTCTGTGAGAGATCACTCAGTATTATAGACTCTAGTTCCATCCAGGTTGCTGCGAAATTCATGATTTTTTTTTTATGGCTGCATAGTATTCCATCGTGTATATGTACCACATCAATTTTTAAAAATCCAGTCCGGATTCAATGGGCAGCATGGTTGGTTCCATATTTTTATTTTAAAGATGTGGGGTACAATTCAGGGTGAGGTATACAAATGGTCATTGTAAAGTTTGGCCTCACTTTGGTCCCCACTTCACCTGGTTTAAGATCAGGTAGCCTTATTTATCTGATAGTAATTTACAGCATTATGTTGATGGAAGAAATGACAAGTTAAATGGACAAAACAGGTTATGTGTAGATATATGTATAATACAGGAAGGAACCCAAACCAATGGGATAGAAATGGATTAACTAATAATTGATGCTGAGATAATGCACTGTATAAGAAAAAACCATGCTAGACCCTTAAGACATATTTTATACTCAAATGACTTCCAAGGAAGGTGAATTTTTTTTTAAAAAGCATAATTTTAGATGAGATGACTATTTAATCTTGGAGTGGTTAAGGACTTCGTAAGCATAAATAAGGAACAGATTTGACAACATACAAATGTACAGTTCAGATGTACAAAAATTAGATAGAAAATGAAAAGGCTAACAGAAAACTAGAAAAACATTCTTAAATGGAGGACTATTAGTGTACTACAAAAATAGTTAATACAGGAAGTGTTGATTAAATGTTACTTTTTGGAAGTTGGGGAAAGCTAATAATAATTTTGAAGGCCAGGAGTGGTGGCTCATGCCTTAAATTCCACTTTGGACTTTAGGAGGCTGAAGCAGACGGATCACTTGAGGCCAAGAGCCTAAGACCAGCCTGGGCAACATAGGGAGAGTCCATCGCTACAAAAAAAATTTAGCTAAGTATGGTGGCTTGCAAAGTTCCAGCTCCTGGGGCGGGGGCAGAGGGGGGGCGCTGAGGTGGAAGGATCCCTTGAGTCTAAGAGGCTGAGGGTTCAGTGAGCTATGATCGCAATACCACACTCCAGATTGAGATAGTGTAATTTTAGTAAAAGGTAATTAACACTATTACTTTCTTGAAAATAACATCTTAATATTCAATTTTGACCATTCAAAAATTAAGTATTAGACAATTTTACTTTCATTATGTCTACAATAAAAGAATTGTAAAACACACAGACATAAGGTTCACATATATTTGTCTTTTAGAAAATTAAGTACCTTATGGTCAGAAGTGTCATTTGATTTTATATCCTTAACATAGATTCTCTGTGAACAGCTTCACTAAAATCACATAGGTTTCCTTTTTAACTGTATTTACTGATGTGATTTTAAAAAGAATACTTGTAAAAATAATGTCACTCACCTGACACAAAGAATCAGCCACAGAGGATAAGTTCAATAATGTTCTGAATTAAATAAAGAATTGATTAAAGTTTGCTCAGTGGAAGAATAAATTCAGAATATACTAATTTCTTAAAACTAATGAGAAAATATGAAAAGCAACTAAAAAGATTAATTAGGTGCATTCAATGAGAATTTTTATTTCAATTATCCATAAAACAATATTACAATACTTTATAAAAATATTAAGTTTTAAGCTACCACTATTCATTTAAAAAAGTATTTGTGCTAGAAGGCTGTTTCTGCCAACTTCCTTTTTGGTAAGAGTTAACTTCCACATTAAGACACTGAAGACAAAAGAGCTGTTGGAAAAAGATCTTCAAATGTACAAAGTTGTTTATTTTTCTTGGCAATTAAAAAATACATAACAATTTAAAATGAATACACATTAAGTTAGTGTTTTATCCTTACTATACAATTGTTATAAGGAACTGTTCCATTCAGTTAAAACTTAATGAATACCATCAACTTCTCCTGGCTTATATTTCTGATCAGAATTAGCACATAAACAATTGTTACCCTTTTAAAAATGCTTAGAAAAACCACAATATCATAGCTACATAAAGCCCTTAAAAACTCTCATGTCACAAGTTGTTGACATCAAGGGTAAATAACGACGGCATCAAGGGTAAATAACGACAGCACTCTTCTTAGGAAGCCTCTCTTGGTAGAGATTCAATACTAAGCAGGTTATGTAAACAGAAAAAACCCACAATTTTTAGTACCAGGACAGGTGCCAACTTGAAGTTCATCCGTTACATCTTAAAATGGTCTGAATTTGAACACATATACCATGGCACATAATTTTAAATTTAGTGATTAAATCAGGTAAGTGATGATAGTTAAACATTTATATCCTGAAAATAGGAGAACCTGATATAATGCTTAAAGTACAACTTAAAAAAGTATTTTAAAACATACTTTTATTTTATCAAATTCAGTTTCCCTTCACTAGATACTTAAATCACTAATGCTGCTATTCAAATTCATATTTTAGAATTCCTTTCTGAATTACTCTTAAAAATCAGTCTTATTTTGTCTGTTCACTTTTGCACTTTAAATGAGTAAAAATTGTCCTCTTTTCACTATTGTTAATTATTCATAATGGGTTTTCCTCCCCAAATCAACTATATTGTAAAAGGAAAAAAAAAATGATCACTATTATGTATATTTTGAAAGTGCTTGTAGCTTCAAACATGATTTGACAATTCAAGTTCTAAAAATGTTTTTGCATAAAAGCTGTATCTCACTGCAATTAGTGTGAAGCCTTAACTTCATTGCTTTGAGGTTCAATTCACTCACTTAGTGTGTAAGAAAAATTAGTTTTATAGTCATGCCTTATAACTCTTAAAAGTCCCAGAAAGTAGATCAGTGAGGAGCTTAAAATGCCAGTAAAGTCATTTTGTCATCCATGGTGTCAACACTAAGCATCCCATTCCATCCCTCTACCTGTAAAACTTTCACATTTTCTTTTCTCATATTTCTGTTAAATACATTTTCCTCTCGGTCTATGTTCAACATGAGCAAAAGTGCATTCAAGTCTCTGATCTAGTAATATTTTCTATTTGTGGCACCCATTACCATAAGAACATAATAGCAGTATCTCATAATACCAAGTCTATTTTTTTTAAAGGGATGTTTAAATGCTGAGTTTTACTGTTCATGCTACCTAAAGATTAAAAGATTTCCTCTTGGATTGGATAGTATAATTTCAATTATATATTGCCTTAAAAAAATCAATGAAACCTTATAAAAGATTAACTCACTTTCTAGTCACCTTCATTATTCTAAGTTGAACTATTCAGAAAATGACCGAAGAGAAAAAATTTCTTATTCAACATTCGAGTTCCACAAATATGAGTACTAACGCAGTGTATTATACTTTCAAATTCCACTGTTGTGGTCTAACACTTAATCAGTTTTAGATGCTGTTTATATTTCTTTTTTGCTTCTGGAAAACGTGGCCCATTTCCATGCAAAAGGAGGCATATGTTAAGACTGTATACTGACTGTTTAACTTAGAAAAAACTTTTGGGAATAATAAATGCAAGAAAATTTTAAAAACTGGAATGGAATTATTTGGTCCCATGAGTTCCGTAAGTTTAGATTTTATTATGCTATGATTTTTTTATCTCCCAAGTTTTGTCTATAACAATAAATACTTCTCTTTGAACAATTCTGAGTTTGGGGAAGAAAAGAAATGACTTATAAGCAGTAGCTCTGTTGCTCTTCATTACCACACTTTCACCCACATTGTCATCAGCATATTAGCTCTGTTTTCTTTGGACCCTGAAATAAGTTGGAAAATTCATCATTGGTACTTCAGAGTTTAACACTTGGAAAAAAAGTGGTTTTGTGCAACCATATCTGGAATTCCAGTTTACCATTAAAAACATGCAGAGTAAAGAAGATTTTCTTCCTTTGATTCCTGCACGTAACTCTATATAAGTTCGTTTACATTTTGGCAGATTTGTGCATATAAAACAGGCTACTAGGATTATAAATTTTCTCCTGGCTGGTACTGTGGCTCTGTAGCAGTGAAGTAGTCTTCCAAGAAGGACTGAATATATTCAAATGTTGGTCTTTCATCAGGATCCTTCTTCCAACACAGATTCATCAATTCATGGAGGGATTCTGGACAGCCCTGAGGGCAGGGCATCCTATATCCTCGTTCCACCTGTTCCAGCACTTCACGGTTAACCATACCTAACACAAAAAATTCAAACATTTAAAAACAATGATCCTAATCATCACTAGCAAAATAGAACAAATTCCCTAGTCACTAACTGATTCAACGTGGGTTAAGTTTACTTAGTGAAATAACTTTTTCAACAAAAAAACAAAATAAATTTTATTTTACTTTATTATTATTGAGTTGAGGTTCTCCCTCTGTGACCCAGGCTGGAGTGCAGTGGCATGATCACAGCTCAGCACAGCCTTGAACTCTTGGGCTCAACCTCCAAGTAGCTGAGACTACAAGCGCACACCACCATGTCTGGCTAATTTTTTAATTTTTTGTAGAGATCAGGTATCACTCTGTTGCCTAGACTGGTCTCAAGCTGCTGGGCTCAAGTAATCCTCCTGCCTTGGTCTCCCAAAGTGCTGGGATTATAGGCATGAGTCATGGCACCCAGTCATATTTTAAGTATCAGAGTATATCAAGAAGAGCTGAGAAAATATAAATCTATGGTCCAAAACGTCTAATTTTTCATTCCATCTAACATCTTATATTTAACACTAATGCCTTCAAAAATCAGCCCCATTTGATTAATGAGAATTTAGGATGCCACTATGAGGTACTGATACTTCCTAATATTAACATTTAACAAATTTAGAATGGTGGCAAGATAGTGTCTGAAGGAATTTGCAAATAGGAACTCAGAAGAAAAAGTTCTAGTTTCACTTTTGCTAAATATACTAACTACATAATTTTACATTGAGTTATTTCCCTGAAACATTTTCCCTATCTAATTCCACCTGTTTGGCTTTCTTCAAGTTAATACACACAGTACCTGTCTTGTATTCCTTTGTAATTAGCCCCACCCATCAGTGGCTCACCCTGTCTTATCACACACCAAGTCTCTTTTCCCAGATTTTTCTTCCCAACACTGTCTCACCAAGCCAGCAACTCACCATCTTCCTATCTCCCACATCACCTTCCTGCCTATAAGTCAGGCAATCCCTCATACTCTTGTAATCTTGAATTGACCAACCAGCAATGAATTTTTAAACAATGACGACCTTCAGCAAATTTAATGGGGTTAAATCATTATTTTTATCTCTAGCCATAATATATTCAAGGAATAGGTGATTCCTCAAAATGTATATTTTTTACTATTAAAAAAATTACATGACTATTACTTTGAGTTCCAGTACTTAAGAGAAAGTTTTCTGAGTTTTTCATCTAAGTAGGTAGTTATCCATCCTCATAAGTAAAATCGAGCACATTTTACCAACCATAAAAATACAACCAGAAGTTGTTAAGGAAAAGCAGAAAGGAACAAAGTAATTAATGCCCAATTAAGGCTTACTATAATTGAAGAACTTTCTCCCTCAAACTTATGCCTTTGTTCTTTTATTTCATGCTTTATTATTTAATTGACTGCTAAGGTTTTTTTTTTAAATAAATTTTTTATTTTAAATATGTGGGGTACAATTCAGTGTTAAGTATACAACTGTTCATTATGCAGGTACCCTTGTTGATGAGGTGTGCCCTCCCCCCGGGGCAGTTTCCCACTGCTGCCACTCCCACCCCTGCCCTCCCCTGGCAGTTTCCCACTACTGTCAATCCCTTTCTTATAAGTATTACGATAGTTGCTGAAGGTCCGCTTATGAGTGAGAACATGTGACACTTGGGTTCTTTGTTTATGCCTCTAAGTCCATCCAAGTTGCTGCGAAGTTCACAATTTTGTACTTTATGTTGCATAATATTCCATCATGTATATGTATCACATTTTTTTTATCCAGTCCTCTTTCAATGGGCAGCACAGTTGGTTCCATATTTTTGCTATTGTAAATAATGCTTCAATAAACATGCATGTGCAGGTATCTTTTTCACAGAGTGTTGTGAGTTCCTCCAGGTATATTACCAGGAGGGGGACTGCAGGGTTGTATGAGAGGTTGATTTTTAGATCTTTTAGGAATCGCCACACTGTTTTCCACAGAGGCTGTACTAGTTTACACTCCCACCAACAGCATCTGTTGTTTTCTGAGTTACTGATGATGGCCATTCTGACTGGAATTAGGTGGTATCTCGGTGTGGTTTTAATTTGCATTTCTTTGATGACTAGTGAGGCTGAGCATTTTTTTAATGTATCTGTTGGCTTCTCACCTGTCTTCTTTTGAGAAATGTCTATTCATATCTTTTGCCCATTTTGTAGAAAATAACTTCTAATTACCAATAAACTTTCATTCAAAACTTGATCCTTCCTAATTTTCTAATAATTAGAACTATTAAATGATTTTATGCTAACAGTTATGAAAGTAAAATATGGCAGAAATGGCATCTTGCAGGAATACTATCTTCAAGAGAGAACTGTTTCCTATAAGAGAACTTCTGAGCTTCCAAGTAAGATACAAGTACCCTAGCACAGTGGAAGTCAGGTCTGTCTCCCCTACTTCTCAATAAACAAAGAAGACAGAAATATTCTATGATTGCCAATGCTTAAAATCAAATGGCAAATACTTATCACACTGTCAATAAATTTGAACATTTCATACTTATTTGCATTTTCCAAGGTTTACTACTGTCTCAGTATAAGACCAAAAGCTCTTGCTTTGAAAGTCTGCTGTGAGAAGAGCCTGTAGTGGATAGGTCTGTGCTACATGTATAAAGTTTTTTCCAAATCCTCTTAAATCATCGAAGAAAAACAATAATGCTTATACAGTATCTCTTTTCTTCTTTGAAGATTGGTAATCTATACATTGTTTATATCCTGATTCTCATCTGAACATTTAACTGGATTATCCCAGCCATATTAATTTTTATGTATTTTGGAAATATATAGTTTGGTACATATTCATGATGGATTTTTATGTGTCCCTGTTGAACTGACCCTTTTAGCATTATGAAATACCCCTTTTGGTGTCTTGTAATATTTTCTGCCTTAAAGTCTACTCTACACAGGTTTTCTTTTGGTTAGCATTTGTGGAGTATATTTTTCCTATTCTTTTAATTTCAGTCATTTTGAATACCTTAAAGTATGTTTCTTACAAATAGTATCACAGCATTTGTGTGTGTATATTTAAAATTCAGATTTTGAATTAGGAATGCTCAATCTATATACAGCCTCCTTATAAATGCTTGGTTTCAATTTTTGTAATTTGACTATGATATACTTGCTTGAATTTCACTGGGTTTCTTTATTTATCTTGCTTGAGGTTCATCAGGTTAACTGAATCTGAAAGTTTTTTGGTTTTGTTTTTAAAAATCCTAATTTGGAAGGTTTTATAAGCCATTACTTTTTACAGATCTTGCTACTGGTTCATTTTCTCTCTCCATCGCCTCCTGGGAACTCCAACTGCATATAAATTAGATCTTTTCACTATGCCCCATTTGTTTTATATGCTTTTTTTCTCATTCTTTTAAATCTATGCATTACTTTGGATATTTTCTGTTAATGTGTCTGAATCCCCTAATCTTGTCTTCTACTATGCCCATAGTTCTTAATTTTACATGTTTTATAGTTCTGAAATTTCCATTTGACTCTTTTTTATAGATTCCAATTGTTTAAATTCTTCATTTTTTTCATCACTTTGCCAATCTTTTCTTCTATGTTGACATTTTATATATTGGCATTTTGAAGTCCTTTGCTAACTCCAAGATCTGGATTATCTCTGGGTCTATTCCTATTGATTTTGAATTCTGATAATCAGTCATGTTTTCCTTTCTTCATGTATCTAGTAAGTTTTTATTTTATGCCAGATACTTTGAATCATACATTGTAGATCATTGGGATCAAGGTATATTTTTCTTAAGGTTATTAGTTTTATTCCGTTGGTAGATGACTTACTGGAAGATTACCTAGATCTTGTTTGTTTAGGCTTGGTTTTAGGTTTTGTTCAGTTTTGCCTCTCTCTTAGTATGGCATAGCCTTTCTGGAGTCTCAACAAAAGCCTAAAGTACTTACCCCCCAGAGCCTATCCATCTTGGCTGGGCAAGAACTCCCCAGCACTCTGTAGCCTCTAAACTCTGCTCCAATTTTCAGCTTCTTATTGGTTATTTTCTGTTAGATCTCCTAGAGCAGCATTCCCCATCCTTTTTGGCATCAAGGACCAATTTTGCAGAAGACAATTTTTCCATGGGATGAGGTGGGGGTGGGGGTGAGAGTGATGGTTTTGGGATGATTCAAGTACATAACATTTGTTGTGCACTTCTATTATATTATTACATTGTAATATATAATGAAAGAATTATACAACTAACCGTGGGGGGAAAAAAGGCATGAATGGAAGTGGTAAATAAGACAATGAGTTGGCCACATGTGGACTAAAATAAATGTTGGATTCTGACTTAAATCCTGCCACCAGATGCAGCTGTACAGTTAAGTATACCAATTCACTTGCCACTCACTGACAGAGTTTTGATATGAGTCTGCAAGCAATTGATTTATTATGGTCTCTATGCAGTCAAACCTCACTGTTAATGTTAATCTGTATTTACAGTCATACTCCTAGCACCAGCGTCACCACCTCAGCTCCACCTTAGATCACTGGGCATGAGACTCTCAAAAGGAGCACACAACCTAGATCCCTCACATGCACAGTTCACAATAGGGCTCATGCTCCTGTAAGAATCTAATACTCAGCCTGTAACCCAGCACCTTGGGAGGCCGAGGTGCATGGATTGCCTGAGACCGCGGGTTCAAGAGACCTTGTCTCTACAATAAAATAAAAAATTAGCCAGGTGTGGTAGAGCGCATCTGTAGTTCTGGCTACTTGGAAGGTTGAGGCAGAAGGATCGCCTGAGCTCAGCAGGTTGACACTGGGGTGGCTGTGCGTGTGTCACTGCACTCCAGTCTGGGTGACACAGCAAGACTCTAACTCAAAAAAAAGAAAAAAGAAAAAAAGAATCTCATGCTGCCGCCGATCTAACAGGAGGCAGAGCTCAGGTGGTAATGTGAATGATAGGAAACAGCTGTAAATACGGATGAAGCGTCACTTGCTCAACTGCCATTCACCTCCTGCTGTGCAGCCCGGTATTGGTTCATGGTCTGGAGTTTGTGGACCCCTATCTTAGAGCCTGTCCCCATATGTATGCAGATTAGGAACTGACCAAGGACTTGAAGTGATTTTAAAGCAGAATTTTAGAGTTCTTTCCCTACAGCTCTTCTTTGTGACCCTGCCCTCCAGCATTTGGATCTCTGTCGCCTTTGCTCAGTAAGACTGATACTTTCTGTCTAGGTTTTGTTGCCCTATGCCCTTTTAGGAAATATAGGGCCAGGTATGGTGACTCACACCTGCAATTCCAGCACTCCGGGAGGCTGAAGTGGGAGGGTCACTTGAGCCCAGGAGTTCAAGAGGAGCCTGGGCAATATAGTGAGACCTCTTTATTAAAAAAATTAGCCAGGCATGATGGTGCATGCCTGTAAGTCCCAGCTACTCAGGAGACTGAAGTGGAAGGATCGCCTGAGCCCAGGAATTCAAGGCTACAGTGATTGTGCCACTGTACTCCAGGTTGGGGTGACAGAATGAGACTCCAACTTAAAAAAAAAAAATGCCTGAGGGAGAAGGCCGAAATGTAGGGCTCACCTCATTTTTTTGGTCTGTCTTAGCAATTATAGCCTTCACTGGTTACTGTGCAATGTCAAAACAGTTCATTTACATATTTTTCTAACTTTTGTAATTGTTTGGAGTAGGATAGTAAGTTGAATATTAGTCACTCCATCATGGCTAAAATGGAAAGTTCCTCATGGTTATAAATTTAAAGTGAAACTACAAGCCTGGGCAACATAGCAGGACCCTATCTCTACAAATTTTTTTTTTTTTAAATTAGCCAGGCATGGTGGTATGTACCTGTAGTCCCAGCTACTCGGGAGACTGAGGAGGGAGGACTGCTTGAGTCCAGCAGTTCAAGGCTTTGGTGAGCTGTGATCGTGCCACTCACTCCAGTCTGGGAGACAAAGTGAGACCCCCGATTCAGAGGGGGATAAAAAAAGAAAGAAAAAAATACATGGCTGTATTTTTTTTCTCCTCCATGTTTACAAGTGTGGAATAGGCAGAGTCAGATTTATCCAGTGATTTTGCTAAGTGATAATGATGAAATCAGAGAAGGGTGAAGGGCAAGGGCAAATGTAAATGCTAAGGAGTGATTATACTACTTGACCCGGAATTCAAGGAGTACAATGGTGTTATGAAGGGTGTAAGAAGCTGTAAAAGGTAGTAGAATCAATGGATTAAGGATCCTGATAGCGTCAAGAAATTGGTGAGGTTGGGGTAGAGAGAAGCTAGAAAGATGGGAGGTGGTGTTCCGAGGGTGGATACATGAAACAGATTTGGAGCAGGTTGCACTTATTGATGACATTAACGATTAAGGTATGGACATGGGAAGACTAGCAAAGGTACAGAAGGAGACAAGATCACGGAGGAGTGATCTATCACAGAAACAAAGAATGAAGTATTATATGCTCTCACTCATAACAGACCCTGAACATTTACCATAATACTTTAAGAAAGGGATGGGCAGTAGCAGGATACTGCCAGGGGAGGAGAGGGGCATATCGTATCAATAAGGATACCTGATCTCAAACCAGGTCAAGTGGGGACCAAAGATAGGCCCAAACTTTACCTGTATGATGATCACTTGTATACCGAATCCTGAATTGTATCCTAAATCTTTAAAATAAAAAATAAAAATTTTTTAAAAGTTCATGAAGAAGAGTTCAAACCTCAAGGGACCAGGGTAACAGGAAAATAATCAACATATATATTAAGATGACAATGAATGAAGACACAAGAGGGTCTTACTGGAGAGGGAAGTGGTTGAGTCATTATTAAATGAGAAGAACTTGAATGGGGGGAATCAGAAAATAACAGCAACAGGGGAAAAGGGTGATAAAATCTGATGGCATTAGATCTACAGTTGGAGGTATCTGGGGAGGAATATGCTAGATAATACACAAATACCATAAGACTAGTATTAACTTTTCCTGAAGATTAAATTTGATACTCTCACTCTCAACTATCAAGAAATTTCAGTAGAAAAGTTTGAGGAACAGACTAACAGAATACACAATAGTAGCTGAATTTCAAGTGAGCTAAAATTTCCCCTCTGCCACAGAAACTATATAATAAATCTCTTAATTCTGAGAGGAAACATAATTTTTTCTTTTTATTAATGACAGACCAGTTCCTAAATTGTTTATAAATATGCTTTGTTATGAGAAATAGAACAAGATAAAGATCTGCTCAAAATAGTCTAATACACATTTACCAATGAGACAGGCCAAATACACATTTGCAAATAAAATACACCAGTCATATTACTAGAAAAGAACAATTACTCAGGGGTCAGGGAGATGACCCAGGATACTCTTATCATCTGAGAGAACAATATAGACAAAAGACCCTTTTAGAAAATGTCCTAAGGGAGAAAGCTGAGGTGACTGCAGGGCACCCCTCACATGCTCGCCCTGTCTCAAGGACTGTGGCTCTCCCTGACTGCTGTCCATTCAGTGCCACAGTAAACAAAAGGGGAAATAGGAAGAGAAGTAAAGGCCTTTTTCCTGTCCCTTACATTTCTGCTCCTAACAAATTCCTGATAAAGTCCCTGGTGGGATAACTAAGAGCTAATGAATTAAAGCTTACCTGGATATGGCACTCTACCCTTTGTTACCAGTTCTGTCTGTAGAATTCCAAATGACCACACATCAGACTTTATTGTAAATCGACCATACAGTGCAGCCTCAGGAGCTGTCCACTTGATTGGAAATTTTGCACCTAAAACAATATTGATACTCTAGCTTAATTTAATTGTTTAAAAAAATCTATTTGTATAAACAAAGCATGAGCAGGTAGAATCTTTTGTCCATATTCCTACTATAGTATCACCAGTGTCAAATTCTACACATGTATAAGGCACATGGGAAAAATTCTTTACTTCTTAAAATTTACCTTAAAATAAATCATATTTTTTTCCTGATAAGGTAGTAAATTATACAAAAAATAACGGTGGTGGTGGAAACAGAAAACTATTTTTAAATAGTTTAAATAGAGGTAGAGGCTCTAGTATATCAAAAATATGAATGACATGATCTGTACCTTTTAAGTACAGTATTGTACCTAATAGCTGCAGCTAACTACTGATCAATGAGAGCATATTCTATTGGGTTCTAATGTCTACTAGTTTTCAGTCATAACCTCTTTTCTACTTTATATATCTTTCTGGAAAATTTTATTGTAGTATCATTTCTTCAAGCCATGTTAAGTTACTCAAATATTCTGTGTATGCCCTTATGTATAAGACATTATGCTAATCATCATGGGCACATAAAACGTAGGGCTTTCATGAAGTTTATACACTTATAGTGGAAATAAGATTATAGGTATCTTACATATTTGAAGTTATTTGTATGTGTGCATATAGTGTCATAAAATACAGTTCTTTAGATGTTTAGACAAACAGAAGATCAATTTTCCTTGGCACAATCACAAAAGGTTTCACTTAAAAAGTGGCAGCTAAATTAAGACTATATGATTAGGTTTTTTATAAGTTAAGATTATAGAACAGGAGGATACTGCAGCTGGAGGTAACTATACAAAATATGGAGGCTGAAAAGAAAGCACTGTGTCTAAAGCAGGGTTTCTGCACCACTAACAGGCCTGATGATTCTTTGTTGCGCCGAGTCCAGCCTGTACATTTCTGTACATTGTAGGATGTTTAGTGGTATGTCTGGCTTCTACCCACCAGATACTAGCAGTAGCCCCAAGTTGTAATAACCAAAATTGTCTCTAGACATTGTCAGATGCCCCTGATTGAGAACCTCTGGTCTAAGGCAATAAATAGTTCAAGGGTTCATGACATTTGTCATGAAAGGAATTAAAAACATGTGTTGGTATGTCAAAAAAAAGTATAAAGAAGCTATTACTTGCTATATGTATACTGCAAAGAATATCTAGTCAAGTTCTTCCTTAGAAGAAATAACTATCAGAAAGCCATAGTGGTATTATTTATTGTATATGACTTTTTGAATAAAATTGATGTTTCTATAACTCTCCTGAGGGGATCCAGAACTATTCTTATTCTATAAAACCCTGAATGCTCTGTTAAGTAAAAAAAAAGAAAATTATGTTATAAACATTTGTATAAAAGTATTTTTACCTTGTCTTGCCGTGTATTCATTGTCTTCAATTAATCTTGCTAAACCAAAATCTGCTATTTTGCACACAAGATTTTCTCCTACAAGAATATTAGCAGCCCGAAGATCTCGGTGAATATAGTTCATTCTTTCAATATATGCCATACCATCAGCAATCTTGGAAAGAAAAACAAACCAACCATAAGACATATGATAAAAAAGGAAGCAGAGATAAGAAATTTTTGGTTAATGTTAAACTGGATCATTGAAAATCATAAATAACAAAAGGAGATGATGGTAACAGGGCACAGTCTACAAGATAACAGGAATAAAAACAGAAAACATTATAATAAAAAAAGCAGCTTAAATTCAGATTTCAAAAATCTGACACTACTCTGAAGGCTAGATTTATTCCCCTGGTATATCCAGTCACCACAAGCAACATAACATCCTAATGTCTTCTTGAGTCACTGGTTAGAAGAGACAAGTCACAGGGTTATTTAGTGCCTCTGGACACAGCCCATCAAGGTCAATATCAGGCACAGTCTAAGATGTTGTGGTGATATAAGGTGAGACTGGAAAACTATGCCTTACAGGCCTGAAAACTATAACAGTTTTTACATTTTTTAAAGGGGAGGAGGGAGGAGGAGAGAGGAGGGGGGAGGGGGGAAGAGGAAGAGAGAGGAGGATAACAAAGACTGAAAGTGGCTCACAAAGTCTAAAACATTTACCTGCTTTTTGTTTGTTTGTTTGTTTGTTTTTACAAAACAGATCTGCTGACACCCCCTACCACAGTATGTCTGAAAGCCTTGAACTCTGGAGCATGAATCAAGCCTGGCATATGCCGGCTCATATGTACAGAAACTCGGTATCACGTTTTCCTAAATTCTCAGCTTCTGTGGACATCTGGATACTGAGAGGTAAGAGTTCAAAACCAGCATGTCAGCCACAGCCAATAAAAGGCTCCTTGAACATCTACTACATACCTGAATAAAAATTTTTAATAGTTTTCACTGTATATTTAAGACAAAAAGTCAGAAGAGTAAAAAAAAGTCCCATTTATAACTGTATATTGCCACTTTAGTTCTGGTTTTGGACTGTATTATATAAAGAATTCAGCATATGCTTTAGATTACTATTACTTTCTTTGGAACAGCACTCATCTATTTTAATTTTCTTAAAATTTACCTGTTGAAATATAAATATAGATTTTAATCTGTAGAAGCATATATTTTCTAAAATGCCATAAATTACAGGATAGCAATGTTCTGAAAGTTATACAGCTACTTCCAATACTGGTTCTGTTACTAACAAGTCACATCAATGTTAGATACTGCTGATCTTCAGATAATACATTATCTGCAACATTAGGAGCGCACACTAGGTTCTCTCTCATGTTCCTTCCAGTTCTAAAATTCCATGATTTCACTAAATAGACTATAATAGACTAAGTTTATTCTATATTTTAATGTGTACTTTCTATTAAATTGATACATGTCTGTATATACATACCTGAGCAGCCATATCGACCAGTTGTGGAAGCTTCAAATACTTTCCATCTCCTTCCTTAAGAAAATCTAGTAAGCTCCCTGTAAGACACAATAAGATATTCATGGAAAATAAGCATATCTTACATTAGGATTGAAACTAATACTCCTCCACCTCAAACCAAAACACAAGACTTCTTAGCTTTTCATTCTCTAAAATTTTTTGCAGTTTCCTTAAATTTTGCGGTTTCCTTAAATTGAAATTTTGAAAACTTTTCCTGATAACATATGCAAAAAAGGAAAATGCATTAACTTCACCAGATGAAAGGCATTCTTTCCTTGCTTTGACCAATATCTCAATTTTGAAACAAAAAGTAGTATTAGATACTTACATTTTTTTTTTTGAGTTGGAGTCTCACTCTGTCGCCCAGACTGGAGTGCAGTGGCCGCTCCCGGCCACCGCAACCTCGACCTGTTGGGCTCCGGCGATCCTTCTGCCTCAGCCTTTCAAGTAGCCGGAATTACAGGCATGTGCTACCACGTCCAGCTGATTTTTTTGATTTATTGTAGGGATGAGGTCTTGCTGCCCAGGCGGGTCTCGAACCCGCAGGCTCAGGCAATCCACTCACCTCAGCCTCCCAAAGGCGAGGGATTACAGGCTGAGCCACCGAGCCCGGCTACTTACATATTTTTAGGTCAATCTGAATCGAGACAACTGGGAATATCTTGGGGGTAATTAAAACTAAATATAGTTAAAACTAAGTGGGTCACTGTGGAAGTGCTGTCCTGACCAACTTCTGTCAACTGTAGCAGAAGGTACCAAGGAACAGCAAAGTACTATGGAAAACAGCAAAGAGAAAGGCTAGAAACCTTCTCTATTACCCAAATTAAGCACATTTTATATAACATAAAACTGGACTATTCTCTTCAGAAATAGCAACGGTATGAAGACAAAGAAAGGCTGAGGAATAGTTCTAGATTAAAGAAGACTAAAGAGAAATGACAACTAAATGCAATGTATGACCATGAATTAAATCAGGAAGTATAGCTGGTCAAGAGATAATTTGGAAATCAAATTATCAAATTACAGGTGAAAGAAAAAACATGAACAAAATGATGGAAACAAAGGGCAACAAGAATCTGTTCAGAACACTGGGTTTATGTTGTAGTTAGTACATGATACAATGAGTTAAGACAAATTATACAGGGTCAAATGAACACCAAAATATGAAATTAGAGTTTTCAAAATAGAAAGGATTTCTGTTAACCTGTATCCTAAATTTTCCACTTGGAAAACTCCTACTTAGCGATCTGACAACATTAAGTTCTACCATGTTCTCCCAATTAAAGAATTCTTGAAATTGATACAGAGAGTTAAATGAACCATAAGCCTTATTTTATTTATATTTATTATGTTAATAAATATCTTCTTCTTTTTTTTTTGGTCACAGTCTCACTCTGCCACAGAGGCTAGAATGCAGTGGCACAATCATGGCTTGACATCCCCAGTAGCTAGGACCACCGGCACACACCACCACACTAGGATAGTTTTTAAAAAACTTTTTGTAAAGACATGTTTCATTATGTTGCCCAGGCTGTTCGCAAATACCTGGGTCCAAGCAATCCTTCTACCATGGCCTCCCAAAGTGCTGGGATTACAGGTGTGAGCCACAGCAACCTGTCCAATATCTTGATTTAAACTTCTTCGTTGTTCCTTTCTTCCTTTCTCTTCTGGTTCATTTAATGCCCTCTTTGAAATGGCATATTTGGTAGTTGTTCACAGTAAACATTCATTTCAAAGAGTGCCATGTGTTTTGAGGCTTTAGGTACGTTTTGGTTATCAATTAATAAGCTGTGTCTGTTCTTAACCTTTGATTTGAGTCCCTTTTGTTGGAAAATTTTCCTATAGCAATGTGTAGCTTGTAGTTGCCTTTGTCACCACTAGATGGAACTGCATCATTGGTAAAGCTAGACTACTGGACCAGGTGACAATCAGTGACTTTATTTATATACTACTGATTCAAAAGAGTGAAAAACAAGTAGATCAAATCAAAATGGGTAAAATTCAAGTCTGTCAGCTTATTTGGTTAATTACTAGTTCCTCTTCTAAAGCATTATTTGCACAGGGAAAAAGAGGAAAGAATATCAACCTTCCCTTCCCTTTATCCTTCCTCCACTTAACTAACCATTAGTGAAGATCCCACCCACGTTGTAGTCTGGGGTTTGGGGAAATAATTTCAATGGACAGTAGTGGGGGGAATATTTCCTAGAAGTCTTGAACATGGGGATTATATCTATATTAAAATGTAAGAAAACAGATTTATTTTAACTTTACTGTATTTCTTTAGCACTAAAGATATAAGTATTTTTCTGATCTCATCATTTTAACTCAATTTGTATACTTTTCTATTCTTCACTTTCCTAGCTATTCCATTTCCTTAAGTCAAATCTGCTTTAAAAATAAATTCAGCATGCCTTATTTTCCTTTTAAACTTTATACTATCCTCTAGAATAACTGGAACTAATCACGAACTATTCCATTAAAGTATCAGGTTTCTTCTTTTCAAATGTCTACATAAAATCTTAAATGAGAAAATACTATACAATAAGCCTATATGCATAACAACAGAAATAAAGGCTTATTTTTTAAAAATTTATCAACATGACTATCCTAAGAGATACTAATATACACATACCTTTTGACATAAATTCGGTGACAATGTAAATTGGCTCTTCAGAGACAACAGCATATAGTGGAACAAGTTTATCATGTCTTAATTTTTTCATTATCTGAGCTTCTTGAAGAAAAGCTTCTGGCATCATTGTACCTGGTTTTAGTGTTTTGATAGCAACTTTTGTGGTTCCATTCCATGTACCTAAAGAAACATGCATTTTACAATTTTAACCTACATTTTATACCAAACTTCAGTGAACAGCAGTTACCTTAAATATTTAAAGATACTTTGGCATAAAATGTGGCACTTTAACCTATGGCTAAACAATGACAGAAAACAAAAGTTCAGGCTTCTTACCCATCCATACTTCACCAAAGCATCCTTGTCCTAGTTTAACTTCTAGGCGTAAAGATTCTCGAGGGATTTCCCAAGCATCTTTTGCTAGACCTTGAGTCTGGGGTTTCACAGTTGGACACACAGTTGTTAACTTGTGGCATAAACCATCAGCATGTTCTAGATAAATCAATAAACTACAGTGTAAAATCAATTGCTTACAAAAATTAAGAGACATACCAATGTTTCAAAAAGCTTAAATGGTAGAAAAACTGAAACATTTCAATGGTCTTTCAAGTTTTACTCTAAAAACACAAACAGGGAGTTTGTCCATAAGAAGCAAAACATGAAATATATATAAGTGAAACATTTATTTTTGTTTTTGAGTGGGGGCTCTCACTCTGTCACCCAGGCCAGAGTGCAGTGGCACTGTCACAGCTCTGTATCCTCGACCTCCTTGGGCTCAGGTGATCCTTCTACCTCAGCCTCCTAAGTGGCTGGGGCTATAGGCATCACCACTCCTAGGTAATTAAAAAAATTTTTTTATAGAGACAGGGTCTTGCTATGTTGCCCAGTCTGGTCTCACACTCCTGGACTCAAGTAATTCTCCTGCCTTGGCCTCCTAAAGATTACAGGCATAAGCCACTATATCCAGCTAAATTTTTTTTTTTTTTGGGTAAAGACGAGGTCCCGCTACATTGCCCAGGCTGGTCTTGAGTTCCAATTCTCAGCTCCACTTCCCAAAGTGCTGGGATTACAAGTATGCACCACCGTGCCTAGTAAGTGAAATATTTTGTTAAATACATTTTAAAAGTTATATTTGTTAAATACTTACTATGCTCCGGTATTGTGCTAATTCAGTATTTTACAAATATCTCATATAAATGAGGCTTTGAAAACTTATGCAACTTTCATAAGGTTCTGGAGTTACTAAGTAGCAGAGATGGGATTCAAACCCAGGTATGTCTGCTCCAAAGTTCTGCTTTTGACAATTGGGCTTTATTTATTTTAAAAGATAATGCTATCATAAACTGTTATATCTAATAATCACTAATTTGTAAGAGGCATATAAGAGGCATACCAAAAATCAAGGATAAAGTTCATTTAGAGGACTGATTTTTTTTTTTTTTAAAGAGGGGGGCCTCACTGTGTTGCCAGGCCCAAACTCTTGGCCTCAAGCCATTCTCCTGCCTCAGCTTCCCAAATAGCTGGCATTGCAGATATAAGCCATTGTGCCCAGCAGGAGATTGAATTTTAAATAAAGGACACAAAGGCAGGGAGCCTCAGATTCATAATGGCTTGACTTGTGAATCCTGATTACACACTCTTTCCTACTGTAAATGAGACACTTTCCTTCCCATTCTACTAAGTAACCACACAAATTCACAATCTAACAAAGGCAATTACAAGTGATGCCACTGCTTGATAACATGCTCGATCAATATCAAGATTGCTGGTTGATTAGAAAGACTCAGCTTGCAGCTAGCTGTCACTAAAGAAGAAATTACCATGGAAACTTCCCCTCCCCAGTACCAATCATGCAAACACTTTCAGATGCAGTCACATACCAAATTGGTAATGACAAATTTTGAGAGAGAAGACTCTAGTATTAAGTACCTTCCAGTGGTCCTTGAAAAACAAAAATACCTATAGTTGTTATAGGTTAATTCGCTATGATAAGAAAAATGAATCTTCAGACTAAATTTCATAGGATTTATACTGGATTTATACATTATAAAGGAGATCTTTTGTGATCCAGACCACACAGGGGAGGGTAATTCTTCTGACATAGCTTTTTCTATGTTTAGTTTTATCTACTTAGTAAATGTCCATAAATAAAACATCTGCTTTTATGTTTATTTATTTTCACAATCTATCTTGGCATTTATATGTTATACAATGAAATTCCAAAGTAAATACTCTGTCAGTAAGATATAAAAACTCAAATGATGACAGTCTGATTTTAGTATATTATCTAAGAACTCAATTCAAGTACTAAGTATTACCTGTTCCTTTATTTTATTTTATTCTTGCATTGTACTGTATTGTATTGTATTGTATTTTTGAGTCAGAGTCTCACTCTGTCACCTGGGCTGCAGTGCAGTGACACTCTCATGGCCACTGCTGCCTCAACTTGCTGGGCTCTGTTCCTCAATTTTTTTTTTTTTTTTGAGTTGGAATCTCACTCTGTCACCCAGACTGGAGAGCAATGGCCGCTCCCGGCCACCGCAGCCTTGACCTGCTGGGCTCCGGCGATCCTTCCATCTCAGCCTTCCAAGTAGCTGGAATTACAGGTATGCGCTACCACGCCCGGCTGATTTTTTGATTTATTGTAGAGATGAGGTCTCGCTGCCCAGGCGGGTCTCAAACCCGCAGGCTCAGGCAATTCACTCACCTCAGCCTCCCAAAGGCGTGGGATTACAGGCTGAGCCACCAAGCCCGGCCTTCTGTTCCTCATTTTTAAGCTAGAATACAACAGACATTTATTGGGCATGTATTATGTGTAAAGGAGTATGTAAAATCTTAAGAGAAATGAAGACATGGATTTTGTCCTCATAAAACAGAACACAAGTAAATAAGTTTTACCTTTGAAATATTCACCTACCTGTGTAGTGTTTCACCAATTTCTGCAGAGTATCAAATTGTGCTCTGGTTGTGATATAGTATCCACCATTGTCAAGTTTCCTAATTTTGTAGTGTTTCACATTGTCACCTCTTATCTCATCCCAATCACGAATAGAGAGGGAATAAGCACCTAATGGAGAAAATGAGTACTTTTACTATCTCTTTTTCAAAATACCACCCTGAGAAACATTTATACTCAACAATATTCATACCTTTAGTAGTTTCACTCTCTCTTACTAGGAATATACCTCGTTGATTCCCAGGATTCAGAAGTAATCTTTCAGCATCCTTTCTCCCCATTTTGCCAAAATACCATCTGGAAAATAATTAATAGTGTTTTGAATTGCAAAGGTAGGATGTTCAGAAAAATTATTCCTAAATATCAGTAAGAACGGAGTGGGGTAGGGAAGATAATAAAGATTAACAACAGGACATAGCTTAAAACACAGCAAACATAATTAAAGATGTTTATGTATTAAATGGGAATATTACAGATTTTACTGTTTACAATATATTCTAATAGTATTTCCATGTATTGACCACTCAACATGCCTCTTAAAACTCTACCTGGGGCCGGGCTTGGCAGCTCACACCTATAATCCCAGCACTTAGGAAGATAGGTAAGAGGACTGCCTGACCCAGGAGTTCGAAACCAGCCTAGGCAACATGGTGAGACCTCATCTCCGCAATAAATCCAAAAATTAGCTGGCCATGATAGTGTGCGCCTGTAGTCCCTGCTATTTGGAAGGCTGAGGCGGAAGGATTGACTAAGGCCAGCAGGTCAAGGTTGTGGTTGCCACAATCATGCCATTGCATTCCAGTCTGGACAACAGAGTGAGACTTCTGCTCAAAAAACAAAACAATACAAAAAAAAAAAATTTCACCTGGCAGTCACAGAACAGTAAATGGAGAAGGAAAGGCAGTCAAATAAGAGGCAGATACTTTCTGTCAGACACAAATGACAATGCTAAGACTATAATAGGAAGAAGAAAAGTGGCTCTCTGGGAAGAGAGGATCATCTGTATTCAGTAAGACACAAATATACCATACCCAAGTTATTAGCAACTCTATATGTGCGTAGGTTTGATATAATAAAGTTTTGAAATAAAAATGATAGTCTCTGCTGTGGAATAGCTTACAGAGTCCTGGAGAAGAAAAAAGAATAAAACAAAGTAGCAAGCAACATAGTAGAACAGAGTTATAGAGACAAATTACATATTAATAAATGAAAACAAATATTGATAGAGCATATACTATATGCAAGGTATTGTGCTAAGTGTTGTAATATGAAAATAAAATAGCATTTATGGATACCAGAAAAACTGGTCTAACCTAAAAGTAATATGTTACTAAAGGTGAACTCTGACTTTTTAAAAATTATAAAAATAGACTGAATGTGGTGGCTCATGCCTATAATCCCAGCACTTTGGGAGGCTAAGGCGAGAGGGTTGCTTGAAACCAGGAGTTCAAGACCAGCCTCAGCAACAGAGTGAGACCTTGTCTCTACAAACAAAGAAAAAAAATTAGCCAGGTGCAGTGGCACATGTCTGTAGTCCCAGCTACTAGGGAAACTGAGGTGGAGTAAGCTGTGATCGTGCCACTATACTGCAGCCTGGGAGACAAAGTGAGAACCTGATTCCCTGCCCCCCAAACAAGTTGCAAAAATAATACATAGAACTTCCATACACCCTATAACTATGTTCCCCAGCTCTTAATATTTTGCTTTGTCATACTCTCTCTCTCCTTTTCTCCATATGTATGTATGGGTACATATATATACACACATACACATGCATACAAACACAAATTTTGTCCTTCATTAATTTAAGTTGTAAACATGCTGCACTATTATCCTCAATAATTCAGTGTGTACTTCTGAAAAGATAAGATACTTGCCTAATAACCAAAATGCAAGTGCCTAAATCAAGAAGTTAATACTGATAAAATACTACTAATTTAAGGTAAATTTTTGAAATGAGAAAGTCTGTAAAATATGAAAAGGGTTAATAGATCTACATTTTTTAATGTGAAAAGGAGAGAGACTAGTCATAAGGAAGTATGACTGATACAGATTCATTTGTGATCCTGCTCTAAATGGATACTATGATATTAATTATTAATTTTCTAGTAACATCTCTTAATATAATACATTAGCTGTATTAAGACTGGTGTGTAATTCTGTGTGTGTAAAGTTGTGGCTAAGTAAAATGTGCATTAAAACATTTTTAAAAATCAAAATAATTAATAAAATATGAAGTCATGCCGTACTCTTCTGCCTGAATGGAATCCGCAGGCGCTACATAATTGCTAGGGATATAACCATTCTTTCCTGTAGCAATTGATCTTGCTTCCCACCAGTCTCCTTCCCTGCAACACATAAAACAACAATCACCACAAGGTAGACTATATTGCCCAAGGTACAATTATTGCTGTGTTGTCTTTTATCTGAGATAGCTAAGAGGTTTCACTTCCATTTTTAATTCATGCATTCATTTGATCAATAATTAAACTGAAAGAATATTAAAAAATAGGTTATATAAATTAAGGAATAAGATTAAACAAAAACACAATTGAATTAAGGAATAAGACTAAACAAAAGCACAACTGCATACTTCTGCTCCAAATAAAAATAAAAACACTACACACTTTAATTTTAGCAATGAAATCTCTTTTTTTACATAATTCTTGCAACCTAAGACAATAAACTACAGTGAATAAAACAATCTGGGAGGTAAATCCTTCGAATTACTTAGTTCTTATTAAATGCTTTTCTACAGCTTTGAAATATAATTTACATACGATAAAATCTCCCCACTTAAGACGTACAATTTAGTAGTTTTTAATACATTCAGAGTTGTGCAACAATTATCACAATCAACTTTACAGCATTTTCATCACCCCAAAAAGAAAGCCTTTACCATTAGCAGTTATTCCCCTCCCCACAACCCTCTCCACCTCCATCACTGCCAACCACTAATCTACTTTCTGTGGATATGCCTACTGTGCGCATTTCATGTAAATGGAATAAAACAATGTGTGGTCTTTTGTGATTGGCTTCTTTCATTTAGCATCATTTTTTCAAGGTTCATCTATGTTGTAGTATGTATCAACAGTTCATTTCTCTTTTGTTGCCAAATGCTTTTCTTATTTTAACAGTTTGTAAACTATAATGTTGGTTTTCAGTCATCTTAGAAAAAAAAAATCACAATGCTTTAGCAATCCTATAGCCAAATAATTAACAATGAACAATAAAATTAAAAATTGAATTTAGAATAATATATTTATAAATATGTTATCTGTAAATATTCCAATAAGATTAAAATTAAATTACAATTCAGAACATGAACTACATGTGGTTTGCAATATATAAGCCTTTCCTTTTCCAAAATTAATGTGAAAAGAGCAAATATTATCAGTCTGTAATAAGGAAGATATATGTGGGATTTGCTACTAAAGATTAAATACATGTTTTGCTTCACCAAAGACCTAAAAACATATTATCTAAATTGAAATTTTATAAATGCTTATGGTCAATTTGCTCTAGAAAATAATTTTAAAAATCCCTTCATAATTCAAATATTTAGAAGCCCATACACTTGGTTTGTGATTTCCTAGTACATATTAAGTACTTTTAGATATATAAATCAAAAACTTTGCATTTGATCCTGCTAAGCATTCACTGATTCATTCAAACATTTACTGAATACCTATTAAGAGACATACTTTACAATAGGGTGCTCTGGAAACAAAGGTAAAAAGACAGTCCTTTACCTCAAAGAACTCCCAGTTTAGAGCTGTGTTGTGCAAGCTGAACACTACTGATACTTTGGGCTTGATAACTGTTGTGGGGGCTGTCGCAAGCACTGTACGATGTTTACCCCGGCCTCCACCCACTAGCTGAGAGTTGCAGCGCCCCAATTGTAACAATCAAACATGTCTCCACATTGGCAACATGAAGATTTCCTCCATGTTGAGAACTACTGGTTTAAAAGAATGACAAGCAAGTGACAAATTATAATTCAAATATGATGAGAACTATGATTTAGGTTTGCACAGGCTGCTATGTGAACACATAAAAGAGACACTGAATCCAGCAGGAGGTGGGGACCAGGCCAGGAAAGAGAAGACTCTAAGAAAAAGTATCCTAGAGAAAGGACATAGGAACTACATTTTGAAGGATGAGTAGAATTAGCCAGATAACTGAAAGAAATGAAGGGATGAGAAGCCACGATGCAGAAAAATATAAATAGCATGTGTGAAGACATGACGAGAATGAGAAACTCCAGCATACTCAGAAAATTTAAAGTAATTTAGTCTGGCTTGGTGGTGCAGTGAAAAAGGGAGAGACGCACACAGTAAATTATCAATGAATGATAGCAACTACTATCATTTTTCTTCTATCTTGATGGCAATTGGTAGTTACCAAAGGATTTTAAAGAAGAGAGACAAGATTGTCTTATGTTCTGGAACAACTGGTAGCAATTGGGAACAAGGATACAATGAAACATGACTGGGAGCAAAGAGACCATAACATATATTTTGAGAAGGTACAAAGAGGTCGTTATGCTTGCAGATGAAATTACGGGATCTATTTTCTATGAAAAGCATCAAATTTTCTATGGTGGGCCTCTAGACAAAAAGTCCAAGAGCCACAGAATGAAAAAGCAACTTAATTTGTTTAGTTTGAGAATACAGGGGTTCCTTATTCAACTTTTCCTCTTTACTTCTTTAGGAAAAAGAGGTAAGATCTTTAAGCCACTTGGTATTAGAAAAATAGAAACAGAATTCTCTTTAAAGTCTTTTGTTTTTAATGTAATATACTTGCATATACCCCTCTCAATAACTCTTCATTCTTAAATCTCTGTTTATGGAAGAACCAGAGCCACACAATTTGCAAAGTAATAACTTCTGGCAACAGCAGTAGTGTTATGCCATGTGTCTAAAGAAGGCAAACGCATCGTTATACTCAGTGGGCAGACACCACACCCATGCCCTACCTTTCTCATCTTCTGATCATCAACTAGCTAGCTCAGTGGTTTCAGTGTAAAGACTAGGGTTCTGTCAGTATTTCTCCCTCACAAAATATTCATAATACTTACGTATTGTTAATTATTTGAAATCTTTCACCCTTCTTAAATGAAAGGTCTTCTGTAGTTCTAGCTTCATAATCATATAAGGCCACAAATATAGTAACACCACCTATCAAAGAAGAAAAAGATCAAGGTAAATTACATAGATATATAGTAACGAAGGAGAAATAAAGAAGTACTGCCAGCAAAAAAGCTTAAGGATAGTTTTCTCTCATCTCCAGAATCTATTTTTAGAAGTTGTAGTTACTAAAAAACATTAAAGGAGAGACATGACCATATCTTATATTCTAGAACGATAACTGTTAACAATAACTGGTCTTAAGCTTAAGTGCTCTTAAGACCCTGCATAAAACTACTGTATTCTACAAATTCTAGAATAACTCTACAGATTTAAGGAAACAAATTTAATTTAACCAAATTTTCTTTTGTAAAGATAGGGTGTTGATATGTTTTCCAGGCTGGTCTTGAACTCCTGGCCTCAAGTGATCCTCTCATCTCGGTCTCCCAAAATATTGAGATTACAGGCATAGCCACCACTCCTGACCTAAATTTGACTATGGCAGCAACATATCTGGCTTGAAAATACAGTCAAATTTTAAATCAATTATTTGACAGAGAAACCACTACTGAAATTATTCTTCTCAATTTCTCAAACAACAGGTGAAAAATTTCATTGAATCATTAACAGTACTAACTAGGGATTTAGTAAGATTGTTTATTATATACTTAACACTTAAAAATGTTATATTTGTCTTAAAAATTGAATGGCATGGTCAATATAAATTATAAAGTATAAATTCCAAAAATAACTGTCATATTTAGCATTATGTGAAGATGCTTTAAGAGATCAGCACACTGAACAGTCAAATTAGTATCTCCAAACAAAACAAATAACAATAGGACTAATATATACAATATACATGGCATTCCAATGTTTAAAATTATTCAAGGCAAGTATTCTTGTTAAGAAAAACTCATTATATATTGATATCCTTTTAAAAACATTGTATCTATTGTGTACAACATGATGTCTTGAAATATGTGTACACTGCATAATGGCTAAATCAAGCTAATTAACGTATCACTGCCTCACATATCATTTGTGTGGTAAGAATATTTGAAATCAACTCTGTTAGCAATTTTCAAGAATATAGTTATTAACACCATGTTGTACAACAGATTTCTTGAACTTAGTCCTCCTATATAGCTTAAATTTTATATCCTTTGACCAACATACTCTTAATTTGAATATGTATATACTCTACTCAATATAATTCCATTCACTTGTGAGATCAACTATTAGTTTTCAATATTTTAAAATAGTGGTGCAACTACAAATAGACTAATAAGTACAAATGCTTGAAAGGTAGAACACAGTATAAAACCTGCTGTCTCTAAACAGAGAGCAATAAAAAGCCAAGGGTAAAAATATAATCACTCACAATATTATCTCATTTACTTAGCTTCTCCCTTGAGTCTGTCATATATCAACTGCCTAGTTGACATCTCCACTTGAATGTCAGTAAGATTTAAAATTTATTACAAAACGAAACAAAGTTCTTGTTTTTCTTCCTCTAATTTACATTTACCTGTCTCCGTCTAAGCAAATGGCACTACTATCTAATGAGGTACTCAAGTCAACCCAATTACTAGTGCTATCAATTTTGCCTCTAAAATATCTTATTTGTTTACTTTTCATTTCCACTGCTGATACCTTAACCCAACTCCTTATCATCTCTCACTGGGACTTCTGGGACTGTTGAGAGTACTAGTCTCCTAATCTGCTTCGATATTGGTTTCCTACCATCCATTCTATACACAGCTACCAGAGTCAGTTTTTTAAAAAAGAAATTCAATCACATAAATCCTTTACTTAATCACTTCAATTGCTTTTTTTCTGGTTTTGAATAAAACCCAAACTTTTTACCAGAGTCTATGATATCCTGAGTAACTGTAGTCTCCCACCTAACTCTTCAATCTTGTATCATACAATTCTCCCCTCCCCTCTTCTTACACTGGCCTCCCCACTAATTCTCAAAACTTTTTTTTTTTTTTTTTGACTTGGAGTCTCACTCTGTCACCCAGGCTGGAGTGCAGTGGCACACTCACAGCTATCCAGCATCGATCTGCTGGGCTACAGTGATCCTTCTACCTCAGCCTTCCAAGTAGCTGGAACTATAGGTGTGCACTACCATGCCTGGCTACTTATTTTATTCATTGTAGAGACAAGGTCTCACCATGTTGCCCAGGTTGGTCTTGAACCCGCGAACTCAGGCAATCCTCTTGCCTCAGCCTCCTGAAGTGCTGGGATTACAGGCTTGAGTCACCTGGCCACTACTCATCTGTATCTCTTGAAATTTCCATTTGTTATTCTCTCTAGAAATCTCCTTCCCCAGCTCTGCACCTAATTAGGTCACTTTCGTCAATCAAATTGCAGCTCCAGTGAGTGCTTCTTGAGGTAGTGTTCCCTGACCAACTATAAGGCCTTCACCAATCATTCTAGTTCATTCCTTTACGGCATTTTAAAGCATTTAGGAACCATCAATTATCCTGTTTAGTTGTTTAGTCACTAATTATTGTCCAGTCCTATATAATGTAAGCTACATCAGGACAGAAACACTGTTTGTCTTGCTTACCCCTCGATACTCTGTACACACACTCCATATCTGTTGAGTTATAAATGAACACCCTTAATGGAGTACTGCTTTAGTAGATTGCTTTAGGTAACTAAAGTATGCCTTTAAATAACAACATTTATTTTATTTTATTTTGAGTTGGAGTCTCACTCTCTCCCCCAGGCTGCAGTGCAGTCAGGTTCATGGCTACCGCAGCCTCGACGTGCTGGGTTCAGGCAATCCGTCCGCCTCAGTCGTCCAAGTAGCTGGAACTACAGACTTGTGCCACCATGCATGGCTAATTTTTTTTTTTAATTGTAGAGATGAGGTCTTGTCAAGTTGTCCAGGCTGGTCCTGAACCCGTGGGTTCAGGCAATCCTCTCACTCCAGCCTCCCAAAGTTCTGGGATAATAGGTATGAGCCACCATGCCCAGCCAGTAACAGCATTTATTTTAACCATTTTGGATTACTATCCTTCCCAAACATATAACCCTGGAAATAATTTAAACTTTTGAAATGACTAAGAAATACCATCATGGTCATCTATTACTGAAGTTACTATTACTGAAGTATTTAGAGTTAGAGGGTTAGCATTAAGATTGTAATCAACTCTGATGTACATAACTCCCCAAATAAAATCTAACAGTGCGTTGCAATCCTCTAGCTTTGTTCTTGGCCCAGATGGAACAGACTGAGGAAACAAATTTATAGCCCATGCTTGTAGAAGAAATTTCTCTTTTGTCCCCATTGGTTGTTAATAAGGACATATGGGCTGGGTGTGGTGGTTCATGTCTGTAATCCCAGTACTTTGGGAGGCAGAGGCAAGAGGATTGCCTGAGCTCAGGAGTTCGAGACCAACCTAGGCAACTTGGCAAGACCTCATCTCTACAATAAATAAATTAGTCAAGCGTGGTGGCATGCATCTGTAGTTTCAGCTACTTGGAAGGTTGAGGCAAGAGGATCACCTGAGTCTAGTAGGTGGAGGCTGCAGTAGCCATGATTGCACCACTGCACTCCAGTCTGGGCAACATAGTGAGACTCTGATTCTAAATAAATAAGTAAATAAATACATACATAAGTAGAATATATGTTGTTTGATGTAATGCTGGCAGCTGTTTGGCCAAGCCGAAAGATAAAGTGGACACACTTCAAGGGCTGCAGGAGAGATGAAAGAAACCTGAATACTTGATGACATCATGGAACTGCTGTTATCAAGGAATCCTGGAGATCACGCTACCTTTCCAAGCTAGCTACACTTTGTTATTTCAGTGAAAAGCATCCTGATATAGGACGCTCTATGAAAGAGCTCATTTTCTCTCTTTTTAAAGTTTTTGAATAAATTTTTTTAGCTTGTCAGCTATCAAGAATGATAATATAATAAATGGGGTTCTGAAACAGGACATTAAATGTGAGCTCTCCTACCTACTATCTGTGACTGGGGCAGGAGTGGGGGCTGGAGGGGAATAATCTAAACTCTCTCAGCCTCAGGATTTCTCTTTTTAAAATCAGTAGTGTCTGAGAAAAACGCTTTTATCATTACTACATTGTTAACAATTATTAAGTAATTACTATTTTTTTTTCTTTTTTGAGTTGGAGTCTCACTCTGTCACCAAGACTGGAGTGCAGTGGCCGCTCCCGGCCACCACGGCCTTGACCTGCTGGGGTCCGGCAATCCTTCCACCTTAGCCTTCCAAGTAGCCGGAATTACAGGCATGCGCTACCACACCCGGCTGATTTTTTTGATTTATTGTAGAGATGAAGTCTCGCTGTCCAGGTGGGTCTTGAACCCGTGGGCTCAGGCAATCCACTCACCTCAGCCTCCCAAAGGCACTGGATTATAGGCTGAGCCACCGAGCCCGGCTATGATATTTTAATAATGCAAAAGACTTTACAATCTTGAGAAGTCATACAATTCCTGAGGGAGAAATATATGTTTATAATCTTTATATTCCCAGTGCCTGCCACACTGGCTCAATAATTATTTGAATATCAGTTAATGAAATGATGATATAACCCACTACCTAGTCACCATAAGATTATCAGCAAATTTCCCAGAACCATACCCATGTATACAAGACATTAATATTTATGAGAAAACTAATTCTCACACATACTTATTTGAAAAGTCATCTAGTAAGATATTTTTCTTAACAGCAGACAAACCTTAAGCATGTATTACCCAAGTTTATATTCTCAGATAACATAATTGTCCATTTAAATCTCACCTGTTAATCCAGGAGGATATGAACTTGGCACCACTGAGAATGAAGAAGATGCTCCTCCAAAAGGTGTCACCCCTGAGGATCCTCCAAATGGTGTTATTGAAAGACTGCTAAAATTAACTGCTGTTCCCTTTGCTGAAGATGACGGTGCCACCGCAGTGTGTTCTGCTCCATAATGGCTCACATTTGAACTGACAGGCTCTGGAGTACTCTCATTTCTGTATTTAATGGTTGGACTTTTGTTTTCTTTACTTTTAATGCAGCCCATTATAAAATCTACAGAGATGATAAGGCAAGTATTTTGAGAATCAGTTAACATACTAGATATTGCAAAAAGACACAATTCAAAAGCTGACTTTAAACAAGGCATTTTTACCCCAGAAAAAAAAGTAACATTAACAAAACAATGATAAAACTACACAGCTGAATACAAGGGGGGGGGGAATCCCCTAAAAAAATTACTTTTTGGAAGGCAGGCCCCTTGTACTGCAGGCTTCCCCTGAAAGTTAAGTGTTCTGAAAAGCCACTGCCATCAGTGTACCAGCTAGCATTGTTGTGAGAGGCTGTGTATGGCTTCAGTGAATTTTTTTTCTTGCAAGTGCTTGCCCATTTTATGATGGGTGATTTACAAGTGCACCTACCCATGCCACACTGAGTGTTCATCATGTTTTTGGGGGTTTTTTTGAGTCGAAGTCTCACTCTGTTGCCCAGCTACCACAGCCTTGACCTGATGGGCTCAGGTAATCCTTTCACCTCAGTCTTTCAAGTAACTGAGACTACATGTAGGTGTGAGCCACAGTGCCTGATGATTTTTTGATTTATTGTAGAGATGACATCGTACCAAGTTGCCTAGGCTGGTCTTGAACCCCTCGGCTCAGGCAGTCCTCTTAACTCCACCCCCCAAAGTGCTGGGATTAGGTGTGAGCCAATGCACCTGGCCTGTTCAACAGTTTTTGATAAAAAATGCCATGACTCTTGTGTCCCATCCGCCTTATCCACTCTATCTCATCCCAAGCAACTTTTAAAATTTTGTTTCCCCTGTACGAAAACTGTCCTAAAAGGGAAACATTTTGCCAATGTGGAAGGGGTGAAACAAAAAACAGCAGAAGCACTAAAAGGCATAAAAATTGATGAGTTCAGGGTGCCTGAATGAAACGTCATTGTACACCTAACCCTTAACTGTACCCCACAAAACCATAATAAAAAATACTGATTAATGAAAAAAAAAAAAAAAAATTGATGAGTTCAAAAACTGTTTTGAGCAGTAAAAAACCCATCTTGATAGATATACTGCATCAACTGGAGAGTACTTTGAAGTTTAAAAACTTAAGAATAAATAGACAATTTTTTATAAATAAATTCTGGGTTTTTTCGTGTCCACTTTTGTAACAGTATCTTTCCTTCACTTATCTTTACTACAATCCTGCTAAAGTTCCACTCCAATCACATCATTCTCCATCTCAATTACTTTTTTTTTTTTAGATTAGAAAATATAGTTTATTTAAAAAGCAAATTAGAGAAAGAGAAAGAAAGAGGAGATTTACCTCCCCAAGGTAGGGAAGGAGGCCAAAGCCAGGAAACATGGTGACAGCCATAGCTCAAAATGCACATAATCACACCCAGAGTCTATGTAAGGCAATGGCACAGACTCTATTTTTAATAGTCCAATGGCAACATGCCACAGTATGTTGAGAAAATCATGGGCTCTAAAGCCAAAGAGGCCTAACTTTGAACCCTGGCTTCCTATTTAGTAGCAAAGTTATGTTAGATATAATGCATTGCTTAACCTCTCTGCACCCATTACTTAAAAAAGTATCACCTACTATGAGGAATAATTTAACTTTATTATAAGTTCTAGACAACATGACACACAGCATGTACTAGCAAATACTCCAAATTCTTTCTGTCTATGCCAGCACTATGCAATAGGAATATGTCACAAATGTAAAGTTAAAATTTTTGAAATTTAATTATAAATGTACTAATTTTCTGATTTTTAAATGTATTCACATTTAAAAAGCACAAACCGGTAAAATTAACTTTAATATTTTATTTAGCCCACTACATCTAAAACAATTATTTCAACATGTAATCACCACATTCATTTTTATTGTTTCATACTAAGTCTTAGAAATCCAGTGTACATTTTGTACTTGCAGCACATCTCAATTTGGACTAGACACATTTCAAGGGCTTAATATCCACAAGAGGCTAGTGGCTACCAAACAGGATAAAGTAGATCTACGTCTTTTTCCTTTGCTGTTAATAGACTTACCCCAATGCTTACCAAATTTGACTCCAGCCTCTCTAATCTTATCTCCTATTTTCTTATACATATTTTACACACATACCCCCCCCCCCCCGTTATCTCTTTTTTTTTGAGTTGGAGTCTCACTCTGTCGCCCAGACTGGAGTGCAGTGGCCGCTCCCAGCCACCACAGCCTCGACCTCCTGGGCTCCAGCGATCCTTCCGCCTCAGCCTTCTGAGTAGCCGGAATTACAATGCATATGCCCTTTCACATTTGTTTTCTTCCTAGAATTGCCTCTGTCCAGAATACTTTCCCCAAATCTCTACCTGCTAAAATTATATCCATTCATTGATGGTCATCACAAATGTTACTTTTCCATTCAGGTTTTCCTTGTATGTGGTAAAATATCTTTTTCCTTAAAACCACCAATGTCCTACTTCTGGGAAGATTTTTGTATGAGACTCTACTTTATTCCATTTTGCTTTTTGCTTACTGGTCTAATTCCCAACCCTCTTCCAAATTAGTGACAATGCATTCCTTGAAGCAAGAGTTGTGCTTTGCTCATCCCTCACCCGCCATACCCAGTGTGACTTGCATATCCCAGACTTACTAAAATTACAGAATCTACATTACTCTATTCACTTTCTGAAGAAGCACTAATGTAGATTTCATCAGTTTGCTTACTTTTAAAGGTCATCCTTATTTGTATAGTTTTTTTCTTCCTATGACATTGAAAAAAATTAAGTGATGACTACCTCATAAATTCTGAAAGACTGAACATTTACAACCTCAACTGTATAATAGTAACTTAAAATATAGCTATAAATATTAAAACAGAAGCAGTATCAAAACTTCAGAGTTGGGTTTTCAGATCATTGCCTTAAATGGGTAGGTTCTAAAGATGTGACATTTAAGTACATCTATCGAAACATAATTGAGTCTGGAAATTTGAATATACTGTCAACCCTCCACATCTCTGGGTTCTCTATCCACGGTTTCAACCAAATGAGGATCAAAAATATTTCGTGAAATAAATGCATCTGTAATGAACATGTTCATACTTTTTGTCTTTGTCACTACTCCCTGCACAACACAGTATAACAGCTATTTACACTGTATTAGGTATTATAGATAATCTAGGGAATGATTTAAAATATAAAGAGAGATGTGTGTAGGTTATACGCAAATATATCATCTTACATCAAGGACTTGAGATCTGGATTTTGGTATCCACAGAAAAGTTCTGAACCCAATATCCCAAGGACAAAGAGATGACTGTATACTGAAAATACTGGGAGGGAATGATAAGCTAAACATATAAAATGCAATTGAGTCTAAAAGTATTAGAAAAACACAAAGGTAAGTAAGTAGTTTCAAAATCTAGGGTTGGAGAAGTCTTTTAAAGTATACTGTGCAAGTAAAAACCTTAAAGGAAAAGACTAACCAATATGATTGCATAACTTCGACCTAGGGGGCAGGGATGGGAACAAAAGCTTAAGGGAAGCTAAAGATAAGAAAAATAGGAAAAACACCTTTGTACTTGCTCATGTTTTTTCTTGCTCTCTCAATACACACATAAAACTACACATGTGGAATTTGGCTGAAATTCTTAATACAGACAACTCTAATGCATGAAAAGAAAAAGCTAACCCCACAGAAAAGCAGAAAAAAACTATCAAGAGGAAATCACAAAAGAAATAGGAAAGGTCAATTAACATATGAAAATATATCCCAACTTTCCAAGTCTTCCAAAAATACAAATGAATATACATTTCTTTGTTTATCAGACTGAAAATTTTTGATTCAATACTCAGGGCTGAAAGGAAAATTTTTAACCAACGATCAAAATATATTCACAAAATATCTTAAATTGGGAGGAGGGGTCTGCCAGCCCCAAGGTATGGGTCAAGCACTGCTCTTCACCTTAAAAATAAAAAAATAAAATAAAAAAATAAAATAAAAAGTTGAATTGCAAAAATAAAAGAAGTCAGCAAAAGTGATTTGCAAAATTACCTAGATGCAAAGCCTAAATATTAACAAAATACTATTGCCTGTTACATAATTAGACTTTAAAAGAAGAAGAAAAAAATCAAAAGGGAAAGCCAGTAACTATTATAATTTTAAATTCTGACAGGCAGTCAATTGAGAAATACCATATCAACTCACATCAGAGGTTCCTGTAATTACACTCCCACCTGTTTCCAATCCCAGTTTCCTGGATTTCTCATCCTCACCTTCTCCTTAGTAACCTCTCTACATGACAACATTCCTAACTTTAGGTCCGCTTCCTTCAAAAGTCGTATCTTTTTTACCTTACCCTAACTAGTCTTCCATTACCATGCTCAACCTGTCCTCCAGGCTTTTTTTATTAACCCACAATCTCTGGCCCAACCCCTCACATCTATCCACTTGCCCCTCCCAATAGCTCCAGGAATAGCCCATCATTTTCAGTCCAGTTCCACTAGCAACCCAGTACCAATGCATAGGATCATCATTACTGCTCATCACTGCTGTTCACAAATGTTATTATTAACATCAGATGTGGCCAGGCGCAGTGGGTCACACCTGTAATCCCAGCATTTTGAGAGGCCAAGGCAGAAGAATTGCTTGAGCCCAGGAGTTCAGGATCAACCTAAACAACATGGTAAGACCTCATCTCTACAAAAAATTAAAAAATCAACCAGACGTGGTAGTGCACACCTGTAGTCCCAGCTACTTGGGACACTGCGGTGGAAGGATAGCCTGAGCCCAGGAGTCTGAGGCTGCAGTGAGCTGTGATCGTGCTGCTACACTCTGGACTGAGCTACAGAGTGAAACCACAACTCAAAAAAAAAAAAAACACCCCAAAAAACAGATGTGGTTTACATTTTTTAGTAAACTTCAGGTACAATATGAATTAAACTGATTTTTATGGGCTGTCTTAGAAATGTAAAATCATTTTAAACGTTTATATGAGGAAATCTCTTCCAAGGTCCAAGCTACTGACTTATATATATTTATTATCAATGCACATTAGGCACTGTAAAAGGAAATGGGAATGACAAGAAATGGTCCCTTCTAGTAAAAAGGTCACAATAAGGCTGGGCTGAGTGGCTCAGCCTATAATCCCAGCACTTTGGGAGGCCGAGGTGATTGGACTGCCTGAGCCCACAAGTTCGGGACCAGCCCAGGCAACTTGGCGAGACCTCATCTCTACAATAAATCAAAAACTAGCTGGGCGTGGTAACACATGCCTACATGTGTTACCGGCTATTTGGAAGGTTGAGGTGGAAGGACCACGGGAGCCCAGCAGGTAGACTCTGGGGTGCTGTGAGCGTGCCACTGCACTCTAGCCTGGGCAATGGAGTAAGACTCCAACTCAAAAAAAAAATAATAATAATACAGTATTGTAAAATGTAGAAAATGCTGAATTGGAAGAAAAATGCTAGAGTAGAGAAGGTATGTCCACAATTCCATGGGAATACAGCAAAAATTATCACCTCTGTCTTAAGTGCTTAGGAAAGAAAGTTCTGCAAAGTAAGTGGCATCTGAAGAAATGGAGACTTGGGATAGAGAAAACAGGATATTCTAGGAAGAATGAGAAGCATGCAGAATGGCTCAGATGCTTGAAAATATGGTTTACTTGGGGAAAAGAAAACTGTGAGTATGGTAGGACAAGCAGCTAGAGGAGAATTTATAAGGAAAAGTATTTGTTAGGCAATAACTTTTAGACTTGAGATGAATAAGAATTCTTTTTTAGGCAAATAGCAGGAAAAGACAAATGTTTTAAAATATTTATGACAAAATAATTAATTATATAAACTGGAAAAGAAAAAATAATAGTAGCAGTTAGACAAGTTATTCAACTATTGCAATGATCCATGTGAGAAAAGACAACCACAGGAACATTGTGAGGCCCAAGATAAGGGGAGAAAATGAGGGGTATAGAGAAAGTAGAAGAAACAAGCCTAGATGATCAGCTGAATGTGGAAAGAGGAGATATGAAGGAGGATGAGTCATTTACTCATTCTACCCAATTTACTGAACCCTTTAAAAGTAGTTACTATATTTGCGATAAGGGTTGGCTGACTCTCAAGTTTCTAGTTTGGGCCAAGTGGAAAGTAACACCACAAATGAGGTAGAGAAGACAGGAACATGTTTTTTGGACCAGTTTCAGATGTTTGTTTTAGGTTCATCTTTTAGGTTCATGTTGTGCAGTGTAGTAGAGGCCTGATAATATGTTTAAAGCCCATGTTTAATATGTTACAACCAGAGTTTCACGGTTTCAAGATTTAAAAGAATCCTTTGAAGATAACAAAACTCAAGCAATGTACAGATTTAGAGAGAATCAAAGATTTAATACAATGTTGGAGGATGACTACACACAAGGATAAAGAAATTAGTTAAGCAGAAACTAGAGTTGGGAATAATTTCATAAATATAAAAACATAATCTTTTAGATAGAAAAGACAGTGGAATGAGTTGGGAAAGAGTTTCATCTATGTATAGATATGTGTAGCATTTTTTTTTTCCTTGAAAGAAACATGAGGTTAGGCATGGTGACCCATTCCTGTAATCCCAGCACTCTGGGAGGCTAAGGCAGGAGGAATGCTTCAACCCAAAAGTTCAAGACCAATCTGGGCAGTATAGTGAGACCTCATCTCTATAAAAAAAAATCAAAATATTAGCTGGGTGTGGTGGCGCACACCTGTAGTCACTGCTACTCAGGACACTGAGATGGGAAAATCACTTGAGGTCAGGAGTTTGAGGCTGTGTTGAGCTGTGATGTGCCATTGCACTCAGCCTGGGCAAAAGAGTGAGATCCCAACTGAAAAAAAGAAAGATATTAAAAAAAGAAATCTGAGGCAAATGGACAAAAATGTTAATGTGTTAAACATGGATAATAAATATAATTCTTTTTGTTTAAAGTATTTTATAATTTAACAAATTTTAATAAGTAAAACAGAATAGTGGAAAAAACAGGTGAGCTTTCAGAAAGAAAATATCTAATAGTGTTAAAGACCAAAATGAAGTCAAGTGGCATTAAAATGACTTTTTAAAAGTCCAGCTGATCAGTAATTAAGAGTTCACTGGTGACTTTACCAAGAGTATTTCTTTCTTTCTTTTTTTTTTAGAAAGCAGGATTTATTGAAAGGACAGAAAAGCTCCTACAGTGGGAGGTACCAAGAGTATTTCTTAATGTCATGAATACAAATACTAAACTGCAGTAAACTGAACAATGAATTAAGGAGTAGGCCATGAAAACAAAGATAATTTTTGGAATGTAACACCTTCATAAGCTGAGAATATGTGCTTATTATTGAGATATTTTCTATCATTTCTTTATCTAGTTCACTGATCCAGACACTTGGTTACACAACAGCCCTTCTCCTTCTTTGAAAGACAGTTCTGATTTTGTTTACCCTCCTTCCATCTGTCAAGTCCTGCAGTGGAGCTCAGTACCTGTACAGTCCTGGATAGTAAGTAATTACTTATTTAAGTCATGTATGCAGTCTTATTTCCCTTGCCAGTTAGCTAGTTGAGTCATGACCATGGACATCTAGGAAGTTTTCCTCACTTGCAAAAAGGACTACAAGACAGGAATATTCCATTTTCCTTCTGTAGATGTTATCATCTATGATACGGGCAGCCATCCTGAGACCACCAAGTATCCTTCAGAGAACACACCAATGTACTAAGAACAGGAGGACAGACAGATGGAAGGGAACTTAGGACCCTGATGATGTGGCTAATGTATTGAATTACATAACCCTAAACTATACTTTAGTTCCAGAAATCTTATCATATGACAACAAATGACTACTATATAAGCCAGTTTTATTTTGGTTCTGCTACTTGCAGCTGAAGAATTTTAAATGATACACTATTCAAATCACATGACAATGGTTAATATATTAAATCTCTTCTCAACATAAAAGGATTAAATAGCATAACAACAGCAAAAAAATTCCAAACCTCCCTCAAAGTATTTACATAAATCAAAGTATTTTCATAATATATATTCTTAAACTTGTAAAATTCATAGTGTATAAAGTAAAATCAGTATCTTTTGCAAACAACTTAATACTGATACATGCATAAATATTTGCTGGAAAACAAAGCTTTAAGTATCAATTTGAATATTTCTGCTAAACATTTTTTCGTATTATGAACTTATTTTAAAAACTATGGGAGTCTCTTCTATCAGACACTATCAGAAATTCTCTACCTAAAATGTTCTTTTTAAAAATATCAGCATCGGCTGGGCTTGGTGGTTCAGTCTGTAATCCCAGCACTTTGGGAGGTTGAGGTGAGTGGATTGCCTGAGTCAGCAGGTTTGAGACCAGCCCGGACAACTTGGCAAAACCACATCTCTACCTCAAAAATAAATAAGTAAATAAATAAAATAAAATAAAATAAAATAAAATTGGCCAGGTGCGGTAGCTCATGCCTGTAATCCCACTTTGGAAGGCTGAGGTGAGAGGACTGCCTGAGCCCAGGACTTTGAGACCAGCCTGGGCAACTTGGTGAGACTCTGTCTTGACAATAAATCACAAAAAATTAGCCGGGTGTGGTGGTGCACCTGTAGTTCCAGCTTCTTGGAGGTTGAGGCCTGAGTCCAGCAGGTCCAAGTTGCAGTGGCCAAGAGGTGCCACTGCACTCCAGCCTGGGGACAGGGACTCTGACACAAAAAGTAAATAAATAAATAAAATCAACTTTGAGGTATATATTTGAGGCAAATATATAAAACTGTGCATCCAACACCTGAATCACAATATACAATATTTTGGTCATCTCCCAAAAGGTGTCATTCTCTTACCACCCCAGCAATATCTATGAATAGAACTGCTTTATAAATATACTTTTACCATAAGAAGCTCCTAAACCATTTTCTAATAGAGGCTGTAACATTTTGCATCCCTACCGACAATGAATGTGAATTTCAGTTGTTCCACATCCTGGAAAACACTTCTAAATCTTTCTCTTTTCCCTCAGAAGCCCATGTATACATGGGTCTGGTTGGGATCCAAATGTTCTGGGCAGCTATCTTTTATGGTTAGGATTGAAATGTTCTGTGCAGCCATCTTTTGCATTTTTACTCTATGTAGAAAGCTTTGGCACTGAAATCTACCGATATCAAAAGGTTTCTGACAACATAAAATGCATCGGGCTAAAGTTGATGCCAAACACATTTATAACACAAGTATAGAAATCAAAAGAAGCCATGAATTTCTAGTTTACTAAAAGAAATAATGGTCAGGACTTGGATAGTTTCCAAACATCTTTACCACTGTCTAACTGACCAAAATCTACCACAAGCATTTCAACAAACCTCTCACCTAAAGTAAATTATTATTTCTACACTTAGATAAG